TTCGAACTGCGTGGTGTTCGGATAAAATCATGACAGACACGCAAGTCCGTTTTGCATACTAACCATTACTGCCCTTTGGCTATGTTAACTTCTGACATTTAGTAAACTGTTGCAATCAACATTGTCGCAGTTACGAGAGTAAAAAACAAGTTGTCTCATCCATTATCCAGTTCACTACGCAGTTTCCCTAAGGGTTCTGAAACCCAGCTGCTTAAAGGAACTAGAAATGTGCCTCCCCCCCTCCTTTTTTGCTGACATATCCCTTTTGACTGTTGACAGTCCGGCGGTATACAGCCGCAAGCAATGGTAGGAACGTGGGCCATTATGACAACGAGTGAACGCGTGCTGCCCCTGCAATCTGGCAGGATGGGTGGACGAGGAAAACGGGCACATCTTCTCGGCAAAGAAAAATTAAGTCATAGCTAAACGAAGTGGCCATTAGAATTTGGCCTCTGTGGCTGAGAAACTGTCCGCAAGTCGTCTGACAACAAGGTCAAACGTGCATGTGACCTCAAGCTTGTACGCCGTTAAGCTGGCAAAGTGTGTGGAATTGTAGACGAACATGTTACTAAGACTTTGAATCAAATCCCTTGACGCTTGATCCTCTAAAATTATTGGATTTCTTTGATTCAGGGACATATCGTATGGACAGTAGAAGCAGATATAATGCTGCCCTATGTGCGTACAGTTTTTGCAGTGTGAATACCAGTCAAACGAAATTGGGTCCTCGGATGATGTTATGGCAAAATATACACGTTCTCCAACTAGAGGGATTGGCCGTGTATAACGTGTATAACAGTTTTTCAACAGTTGCCCTCTTAATGCACTATCAAGCATAAGGTGAAGGTCGCTATAACTGCCCACTTGTTGCGGCCTCGTTTGCGCCGACATTCCCATGAGGCAGGCTTTTCTACGGCAACAACTTTCAACAAGGAAGGAAGGTGAGGTGGGACGTAAGTGATGCTCACTGAAAAATTGAATGTGAGAGGTGACAAGGCCAAATAAATTTTTCCCCTTCCCCTTAAACTCCCAGTTCGTAAAATCGCTAACCTTACATAGCAGCAGATACGACACTAGTCTTCTCTATGGTTATATTCACCTATTATGAACATTATTTACTTTCGGGCGACAAAAGGGCTGCATTACTTCGCTTGCGGCGTATGCATATCCTCTTCAAGGCGAGCAATGGTTCTGAAGCAAGTAGTACGCAGATCGGCTGAACAGATAAGGCTGTCATCATTCGTAAATCAATTAAGCAGCAATTCGACTGATCGATGGTTCGTCTCTGTAAAAATACGAATGCTGTTCTGAGTGCGTAGATTTCGTGTTTCATGTAGTCTGAGACAGCAAAAAGGAAGTTTGTATGGCACTTTCGCAAGGGATGTGACGTGTGACGCTGATTTAGTTAACTACGCAGCTTTCGAAGCCAATGTACAATCAAAAAATCCCGCCTGCCAGGTTTGTGATTCGAGGCAGTAATGCTCTTGGATAATTGACCATAAGAAAAGTTGATAGGTGAAAAGCACACATGGAGTGTATCTGGGGGGACGATGGCCGAGCTCTCGTATATCTTCAATAATCACTACCTTACATTCGTGACCGGTCTGCGGGGTAGCCAAGCAAACCAGAACGTGGGAAATTATGCTAGCAAAACCCACTCTATGCTGTCAAAAGGCGCTGGTTCAAGCCATCGG